TACAAAAAGACCTCCAGAGCTGACACAAAGACACTACACCACCTTCAAGTAAGTTGCATGTGGGGCAACATTGGAAGTTCACATCATATCCCAGTGTGAGCTTATTGAACCTCTAACTGCCTCATCTAGGCTTGTTTGGCTAATATTTCTAAGAGGCTCCCACAGAGCCTGAAGTCTCCTTTGTATTTCTGGCCCCTAGAGATAGTTATTGAGCTGGAACTTCTCCAGCTGCATGGGGAAGAAAAGGGGCAAAGGGTGCAAGTTGCAATGGGAAAAGTTTCGTCTTGATACAAGAAAGAATTATCACTTTTTTCAGTGAGAAGAATCAATCACTGAAGAGCCTCCCCAGGACAGGGAGCAATCTCCATCACTGGAGGGTTTCAGGCTGTGGCTGGACAGGTGCTGGATAATCTCATCGAGGCTCCTTTTCCCAGGAGAGGTTGGCTCAGATAACCTTTTGAGGTCCCTTCCAGCCTGGGCTGTCCTGTGACACTATGATAAACATCCTGGGGATAGAAATTTCCTTAAGACTGTGCTTAAAAGGTGTGTTGAATCAGGTCTTGGAGACCAGCCCCACCACCACTTAGGGTGAATATTCCCAGTTTCCTTGTTGAGAAGTGATTTGGGTCTTTCCCAATGACAGAGTCTCTTCTAACCTGTCAGTTCTGTGGCATTTTCCACTACATCTCTGCTTGATGTGTGATTGCAGTTCATCAGTCAGGTTTATTAGGAGCCTTAATTGGATTGCATTAGCTGGCACTTAAGCCATCCAAAGCAGTTGAGAGTGCAATCAATTAAAACATCCTAAGACATTAATGGTGCAGACACAGGGCAGTTGTTGTAGATGGCTAATTACCTGGTTACTTCAGCAAGTGGATTTTATTGCCCAAGAATGGACAAATGATGCATGAGCAGACAAGAAACAACATTGCAAAAGTCTTGTTGGCAAGGCTGCAAAAGATAAGGAAAAGCCAAGATAGAAAGGTTTCTACTGAGAAAATCTGCAGCAAAAGTACAAACCTCACACCGTGACAGGCACTCGGAGCTGTTCCTCATCACTGAAATCTCACTGTGACTCGTGGAGAACATATTGAGTATATTTGTGTTTGAGTGTCTCCTAATGGGACAGCTGAGGTTTCTAAGCAATCAAGATGCTCCATGAGATGGTCATTTTAAATGGGAAAATACTAATCCCTGTCAGTTTTTCATTTCATCCACTACTGATCTGGATCCAAAACTGGAGCTCCCTCATGACTTCAGGCCCATGAACCAACCTCTGTGTCAGCCCCAGGAAGAGTATTTGGTTTCTTGCATTAGGCTTCTGCAGCACTGACCTGGAGCTGAAAGTATAACTAAGGAGCATAACCAAATGCAAACCAGGAATGGAATGGAATCATTAACACCCTCCTGTGCTCCCTGCTCTATCCTACAATCTCCCTCTGGCCTTACAGCTACATTTTCTCATTTACTGTGACACAGTTCAGGAATGAGATGTGTAAACTGATTATCAGACACTGTTCTTATTTTCCTTTGCAGTCCCTAGAGAAATGCTTATGCTAGTTGAGTGTCTGTAATTCCTGAGGTTTTGGAGCTGTGTAGG